ATATCATGTTATATTCATTTCAATGTATCAAGTTCTTCAAAGATGGCAAAATCATCTTCAAGTATAACTAGAAGAAATCTTTGTAAACGAAATTTTTATGGGATCGGGCAAGTCTATACCATGAAAAAGTTGTCCATTTTGAAGCCTGTTTCGAGCATCGCAGTTTTTACAACTCTTTCCAGCGCATAGCCTGTTGCCATATCGATATCGAATTAGACTGATCAGAACTGTTGTTCAAAGTCTATCACTATTATGACTGTGAGCTATAAAAAAAAACAATGTTTTTCTTCAGATTAGTCACCACAGAGACTTTTATTTCTAGAAATAAACAATATATACGACTGCTTTTGCGTGTATCTTATTTTTGATTGTCTTGTTTTTCAAAATATCCAAATTTCCTATCATACCATGACTTAGATAACCGACTGACATGTAAATGTTTAGTGTCTGTGCTTATGAAATCTATCACTCTCATAATCAGACTTACAAAATCATGGATAATACTCGTATCCAAAAACGTAATCGCCATTGCGATGCGAAGCGAAGAATTTCAAGGGTGTGGGTGTGGCTTTAGATCAGAAGAAAAGGAGAACAATAACTTTCTTAATTTTCAGAATGCTTTCTTCGCATCCGTTTATATGCTAATTAACAAAAAGAAAAGTTCCTTTCTTCACGAATGATACTAATATATTATTCAACGTATCTAAATAGTTTACTTTATGGTGAAGATTGATATTGAAATATTTGTAGATTTTTTTTTCTAAAAAACCAATAACAAGATTAAATTGATATTCTAATTTGTGAGTTAGTTGTAAATGAAGATTAGAGAAAAAGGATTTTGTCTAGTCGTTTATAAGCTGTTGCATGTTCATCCGACTTGAATTGACACCTTTTTTCTTTTTTTTTCTATCGTTGTTGAAGAAAATGATGGTATTGTCGACAAGTTTATTGTCAATCGGAAAAGAGATTTAGTTTTGACGAAGCAGAAAAAATAAAATATATTAAGTAAAAAGCAGGGAGACAACTACATGTTTTTTTTTTCAAAATAAAAAAAACAAACTCAAATAATATTTTCTTTCATTTATTTTTAGTAGATCATTTCAACCAAAATCTTTTATTTAACAAAAAAGCTTTTTAAAAAAATCCGAATATCTTTATCAATTTGATTTAATTCATTCATTGTTGCATTTCCATATTCTTGAATTATTTTACCATCTTGTTTTACTGTTATACGATGTTTATCTCCATATATTTTACTCATTGTTTCAGTTTTGTATATTTTCATTTTGATTTGATGATTATTGAATTTGTTTTTCAATAACACATCTTTCCAATTATGTTGTTTCTCGTTTCATTGTTGTTATTATAAAAGTTCTTGGAAATGCTTCATTAAGATCATGTTTTTCTATAGTAGACTCAGGATTTTCATCACCATGATGATTATCTACAAAAGATATTAATTTAAGAAAATTCGTTTTTAGAATAGGTTTTTGTTTTATTTTTGCTTTAAAACTCTGTAGTTGAGAAACCATAGAAAAGTCAATCGAAATCAACGAAGATTTTTTCAATTGGAGAAAATAAAGCATTGAATGGAAAATCATCTTTATTATCTTCCATTTTAGTTTTTAGAATGGAAATTTATTTCTCAATGTTCATTTTTATTTTTATTTCAATATGAAGAAATCTATAAAAAAAAAGGATATCGCTAGACATTTAATTATCTCTTAGTCCTGGGCTCGTAGTAGGACTATATTTCCTATATTTCCTATATTTTTTCAGTTGATCCTATAATGGACTATATTTGAAGCTTTTTTCCTATATTTCCTATATTTTTGAAAAATCGAAGGTTGTTGTGGAGCGAAGGTTTTGGGTGTTGAGGAGGGGTAGGGGAGTCTTTGGAAAGCTACCCCCCCCCCCCCCCCCCAATGGACTATATTTGAAGATAGTTTCCCGGTCCCTCTCGTTGGATCTAATATGAGGATGTCGAAAACTTTAATTTCTTTTTTTACATTTTTGTTGTATTTATGCGTGACATGATGAAAAATTACTCGAACCGAGGATATTGGTACAGTTTTTCTAGACGCCAAAAAAATTTTGTAGGGGAAATTTCATGTCCTATATATTTCCTATATAGTTCAAGACAATCCTATATAAATGGGGCTTGTAATCCTATGTAGAATCCTATATTTTTACAAAGTGTCGCTACGAGGCCAGTCTTAGTCTTATTAATGACTTAATAGATGTGCGTAGGTTACTAATTGAGTTAGTCAATCGAGATATTGCAAAGGTTGAATATCAAATGAAATCATGTCGATAAGATTTCTTAAACAATTATAAAGTACTCAGTTGCATTGATGTCTTTTTATAAATCGAGATTATTTATTCTTGTATATTATCATAGAATTTCAATGTCTACTGAAGTAAACTTATTTCAAACAAATGTATTGATTCTAAATTCTCGTTTTAGAAACGAATTTCTTTATCTTGAAATAAAAGAAAAACGTTCTAATGACAAGTTACTTTTTCAAAATGATAAATATATGCATTAAAAGTTAATAATAATCATAATGGAATTAGAATTCCAATTTCAGTTGCTTTTGTAACACGACATAGTTGTCCTATAAAGTCCGATTAATGGGCTGCACCGGATAATGGATTTTTACTAAACAAGAATTAAAGATTACTTTAAATTAAATTCGATTTAATTTTTATATTTCTTACCGATAAATGTGGTACATTGGATGCTGCACAAATATTAAATGGATTATATTCATCATAATTTAATAGATGTTCATCAATTGGATTCTTTCCACGTACACTTAATACTTTCCGTGTCTAAACAAAATAATAATAAAGTTTTTATTTGTTTTTTTTGTCCGTATTCTAAAGTAATTGAACGAAAATTATGTTTCATTTAACAAAGAATAAATTCAATTGTTTTCAAACAAATCAAAAAAGCATGAACAACTTCGATCAACAGATATGACATATCTTTGAGTGCATTAAAGATAGCTATGTTTTTATAAAGATTTCTTTACTAGTAGACCTGAGATATTAATTCACAATACTTGATTAAGTGCAAATTTTAATGTCATGATTTTATGTATTGGTTGTAATTGTAAATGAGTAAAATCAGTAGCTAATTCACATGAACGTTTTTCATTATCTTTTGCTAGATCTTTTTTTGCCATTGACATTTGTAAATCAACAATATTTTCTTTACATATTTCAATTCATTGTTGATCTTGAAACTTTCCATTTTTTGTTAAAAGATAAGCGATTTCACAATGTAAAACTAATTTTTCTGATTTAAATCAAACTGCTAGGTAAAATAATTTTGGTGAACGTGCATCACGCCTTAATAATTAAAATAAAAATTTAAAAATATTTATTAAATAAACCAATAATTTATATATTTGAATAAAAACATACAAGACCAGGTGGTAATTCAATTTCAGTATCACCTCAACCTTCATCTTGTTCATCTTGATTATTATTAAGATTTTCTTTATTAAGATTATTGTCATCACGTTCAATTGGTACTTCATCATCAGCCCAATCTCAACCACTTGTTGCTGTTTCATTAATATGAAGATTTAAAGCAAGTTTTACTGTTATGTTTGATATTAAATTTGCTTTGATTCTTGTTAACTTATTGAACATGGTAGTAAAATTAATTTAGCATTTAGATTTATATCAGATAACTAAAATAAATAAATATTTTATTTTGAATTACTAAATTTAACACGAGATTAATATTGATTAAATGTATGTCTATCTTATTATTTCATATCTAACATATCAATTAAACAAAGAACAAGTAACAGTAATAACTTTGTTAAAATCTCAGTCTACCGACTTATTCTTTTTTTGTAACAGAATATGAAAAGTCTTCTTATTCTGTTTTTAACCTACATTCTAATGAATATCAATCAGAGAAAATAAACTAAACTAATTATGACATGGTGATTATTTGAAATGTCTTTTAAAAAAAACATGTTATCAATCAATGTCGCAATAAACTTCTTTATACAACAGTACAGGAAACTCTTTAGATAAATGATGTGTTGAATACAATTAAAGATTGTTTAGAAATTATTTAATATCTCAAAAAATTAGTATATTTACATGAAAACCTATAACTAGTTTTCAAGACTTTCAACTGAAGACATTAGAAAACGAAAAATAAAACTTTCTAAATTGCTTTAGTTTTTTTTAAACCCTCTCGGACGAAGTACTAACATGAGAGTATTTTTTATCCATAATATATTACTTTTTCATCAAATGATCCTATTGTATAAAAAAAGACACAATATAAATCAATCTCATAGAGAAAAAATATAAAACACTACTTTGATTGCATTGTCTAAGAAATTTCATTCGTTCTTCAACATCCCCTAATAAGATTTCAATTTGAAATTGTCTACTAACATCTTTTCGTACTTCAGCTAAACAAAAAAAAATAAATTAAAATAAAAATAACAAGAAATTTTTCAAACCAATTTTCATCATTTTTCAAAAAATAGATAATTGAAACTATTAAAAAAAAAACCACAAATAATTTACATCAATATTTCTATATTCAAGTGCCAAACCAAATCTTGTTTTTGCATCATTTGTTTTCAAGATGAAGATTTTTGAAAAGAAATTTGTAAATTTTACTTCATCGTATTTTCTATTACTTTAACTTTTGTTATACAAATATATAAATCAAGTATATGAATAATTCCATGATCACCATTCATAAGTGCATACTTAATATGATTTGATGTTGTATGCTGAAAAACACCTGAATCATCCTAATAATGATAAGTAATTCGTATCATTTGACCACATTGTATATTTAACTTTGCTTTTTCTTACACTTGCTAATGAACATTTTTGTTAAGCATCATATATATTAATATGATCATTTTCACTAATTAATCAAGACCTTTATCAGCATAAAATATTTCATTACAATTTGCTAATTAAATTTTTTTTGTTGTAGTAAAATCCATAAAAAAAGATTTAAAGCAACCCGAATGCATTTAAATCAGATGAACAACGACCTTTACATACTAGAAAAGAATATACATTAAAAGTATCGAACAATTTAGATAAAATATCCTTCTGTTTTTGAAATGTTAGACCTTTTTAAGATCCTAACGTTCAATTCGAATAAATCATATCATTCAAAGTTTTATATTGA